AGGTTCAGCTAGCATAGCATCTGAATTTAAAGCATTCCTTGGCTTTGAGACCAAACCAAAGCAGAGTGCTGATGTCGTAGGTAATCTGTTCATTGGTTTTATATTCAAATGTTATCCAGCTTAATGAAAGAATGGCTTAATGGGCATAAATAGGGCTTTCTTGCCACTAAGGTGGAAGAGATGTCAGGGGTTACCTCAGTTTGGTCAGTTGTATTTTCTTTGTCTAGTTGAATCACCTTTGACTGCTGTTCTCACCTTTTTGTGCTGTCTTGAAGCTGAAAATGCGCAGGTTGTTTTGCAGGAAGGAGGGTTGAAGGGAGCCTGGTTGGGGAGCTGCATTCCAAGAGGGAGGGGGCAGTTGTTTATGAAAGGGAAGTGACAAGAGGGTCACAGTACATCCCTGTATCTAATAGGATTGAATATAAATTACTTTGGAGGAGGAGGAGAAAAACATGGAAACTAACATGTCCCTCAGCACTGAGAGTAATTTAAATTATCTGTATAATCAAGGAACATAGAGTATCTGAGACCCTGTTGCTAAAGGCACATTATTTTCTAGCATTCAAAACAAAGTTATTTTAGTTGTCTTTAATTCCCAAGATACTAGTGTTCATCCACAGTTGGTAATATAATTTTAAGAAAACTCAAGAGAGCTCAGATAGTTTTGTGAGGGAGTCAGAAGGGAGGAATCTGGAAAAACGATCATGGGAAGAGATCCTGGGAGTTTAAAAGTTAGCTTGGACGCATCAGAGTATCTTAACTCTAAATGGGCCCTTATTTGTGAGTGTGGTGACTTGCTGGCTCCCAACTACTGCAGAGGGGTACCTTCATGGAGTCATCTCCAGAGAGCTCAGTGGCATGGGTGCACACAGACTTCCAAGAGGGCCTCCTAAGAACCAGAGATCCAGTTAATCTTTTTGCCTGTTCTGACAGCAAGCTTACAATGTGCTTACGGAAAAGTAGGCAAAACAAGGAAGAAGTTCAGGAGGTGATCTGCCAGACTGGAAAGTCCCTAGAAGATGTGGAAGAAGTGAAGGAGGAGAGGTTGATACTAATAGCTACTCCCCTGTAAAGGCCACGAGTGAAACATAAGGCAGGAGAGACAGGTCATGCTTGTGTGGCCAGAGGTGGTGGGAAGGCAGAAGGTGCACGTCTGCCAAACCCGAACTGCTTCCATAAACTACAGAAAATGGAGCTCAGGCTGAGGAGAGGCAGGGATCTTT